CGGCAAAAGCGTTTAGAAAAGGAAGGCGTTAGAGATAAATCAATTTTTGCAGTGTCGTCAGACTGGTGATAGAATGGAAATTCAACATATTTCTCAAATAATAAATCATTTGAGATGGCTATATTTCACACCACACATTTATTAGTACTTAAAGTATCTGTAGATTGATCTTACTCCAACACATTTACTGTAAAACGTTATAAAAGCTTTACGATCGTATTGTTCTAGACTAAAACAAGTAAAGCCGTATACCGACTGTATGTTTCAATGGAGCTTTGTAACGAACTCTGGTGTTTTATATTTGCTATAAAATGTTACATATCTTTGACAACCAAAATAAATATTAACACTTGAAAACGGAAAACAAAAGAAAATACATATTTTCACACCTATTTATTAGACCGACTGACTGACTCTGATAATAATAATAGGATTAAGTCAAGGAACGAATCAGCAGACTTCGCGAATATTTCTGTGTTCGTTGCAGAACTTTGGTTTTGTTTTATAATGTATTGCCGTGGCGTCATCTGTGAGAAATTTATTTTTCTTTCGGAAAGGTAACTTTACGGCTACCATCGCTGACTAGAGATGTCGCTTTAATAATTGTAATTTTGTACGCAGTTTTCTTTTTCATAATTAAGCCTATTTATAATAAAAGAACAAATTTTGAGTCAAACGTAAAAAAAAATACAAAAATCACGGCCAAGTTGGCAAAAAAACAAGCATGTGATAAATTTCTATGCACCAGCAGTTTTACTTATACATTATTATTTCATCATATACATTTGCAAGGAGTTTTCAACAACCACATAGCTGTAACAAGCGTGTAAATGCCCTAATAACTTATCATTATAAAATTCCCACGGTCTACTAATATTGTATGAGAACCCAGTGTCCATCTGATATGAATATTTCACTCGAGTAGAATACTCAAACTGGTTTCACACTGATAATTGTCTTTCTTACACATAATGTATTGGGCAATACATTTTATCATTTAATTTTGATGGTTAAGCACTTAAGTGGTTGTGTGGGAAGTTACGAATTTGAATACGAAAAATAATTTAGCTCGTAAAGTTATAGATTTAATTTCGTTACAGAAATACTTCAATATTAAGTAAATTTGTGCACTCCGCCGCTCCTATCGTGTACTCCGCCAGTTGACTAGACTACAGTGGAGCCCGTTAGCCTACGGAGAGACGTTGACTCTCTGTACGTAAGCACTCTGAGGCACTTTTTGAACTGGTGCCACCGTCTCATTTCCACCATCGCACCTCCCGCCAAAGGAATAGTCTATCCATCTTAGATGCCTGGTATTATAAAACCACGTAGGCATCTCGTTTGTTCCTCTTCACTTGCAAGATGTGGGGTTCTTCAAAAGTCGTGTCAAAAGGACTGTCAAAGCATCTGATGTTGCAAATGTTCATAAGCAACGATGGACTCCCATCAAGTGGCTCGTCTGCTCGTTTGCCTCCTTCTTTACATTAAAAAAAGTCCCATGTGCCTGTAATTTCACCAGCACCTTCACCCTTCCAAACCGGAACACGGCAATGCTGACATCACTGCTTGGCGGCAGAAATAAGTACGATGGCAGTATTTCCCTGGACGAACTTATCTGATGTTGCAGATGTCCAATGATGTTGAAGCTCTCGTTTGCTGGTTAACCTCCTATTTTACATTTAAAAAATGACAAAATCCGGTTAAATAAGGAATGATCCAGCGAATGTTGGGTTATGTATACATACAGCAGTAAACGCTGCGTCATTGGGTTCCAAATGGTAGTCGACTGGCTAAGGATGACCTGACCAGCGTGTGTACTACTTGACCCCAAATTTTTAATTTTAAATCCTTTCAATTATGTGTCGATAGAGTGTCAATGGCAGGATTTGGTACGTTTGGTATTCAGCTACAAGGTTAAAAGTGGCGACTTGTTAGTGGTTAGCCATCGAGCTACTAATCAACTGCTTTTGCAATTTTTTGGTGTTCTGCTTTTCAATGGCGAGTCGATAGCACGTTGATCGTGAAGTCTACTTATATTATATATGTATATTTAATTTGAATATTAAATTACTGGTTAAGGGTCGAAACACAAAACTGCAAATCGGCGCGATGCGAATTCTTTCGACGATCATCAACCGTACTGGACGTATTTTTGTAGCAACATGGATCGTAAAAAATGTGTTGCACTGCTGTTATTGATAAGAAAGTATGGGAAAAAAACACAAAGAAGATTAACATCGCAGGAATGCACGATGCGGAGCAATTCGCAAATTCTTGCGATGCGACGATGCATCGCAGTTTTGTATTACCACCTTAGACTAGATTAAAATTAAGATATCCTATGCATAGTAATTTTCTATGGTGGTTTTTAGTAAGGCAACATCGATCGTTAGTGATTTAATGAATGAAGGCCATTTCGATGACACTCTATTGAGAGTGAACTGCCATTGCCACTAGATTTTAGCAAAATAATATTATCACAATATCCAAAGTCATAATGACCAATGGTTTCAAGAAAATCAGCAGAATTGGTGCTCAGGTGGCGCACTATTAAAAACATGCCAAGTTTCACACGTCTACAAAGTGATTTTCAAAACACCTTAATTAAATTGCACCATACTTGTCCATGTTTAGGTTTTTCTCACTTGCTCACAGTCAAATCAATCACTATGACAGGCATGCGAACTTGTTGCTTAAGCATTGTTCTAAGTTACCTAACTTATGTAACCTGAAGCAACATGACGAATTTGACGTGTTAATTTTCAGTATATCCGACAACAAGTCAATTAGCAGTGGCTTGAGTTAAATATTGAATGTTAACGAACTGGTTAAGAAAGACAAAAAAAAATGTGCAACCAACGCAATTTACTTTTATTTCCAATAGGTTACGAAAACTATGATTATGTAAGGTTTTTTCCATTTTATTTAATTAAATGATAAAAAGTAAATAATATTAACGACGACGTCACATTTCACGTAAATAAAAATAAGCTTTAGTGAAACTTAAATACGTTCTTATACTTTTTATTGTAAAAAATACAATATCCGGAGTACAAAATAGTCTTTAAAGAAATTTTAATAGCCTATTCAATGTGCACTTGGTCTTTGTCAACCTTGCAACTAATGTAATGATATTTAATATTTTCCTTTTCAATATTTATTTATCATATTACTTGCCAAATATTAATATTATCCAACAAAGAGAGCGTCATTATGGCATAGTTCAATATTACAATCTTTGATGTACCGCTCGGCCACGGCCTTGAAAAGCCGGTGGACGATTTTGCTATGTGCGGTCAGGAAATTAGCGGATTGATTATCAAACAGACTTTATTCATGTTTTTGTTTTTATGTATAAAAAGTAGAGAAGAAAAAATATTTACCTATTGACTGAACACCAGCGCTGAGACTCTGCCCAGCATAAAACTGAGCTAGCCTTTTCAGTTATTGAGTATTAGAGTTTTATTGGATTTTAGTTTTTCTTTTGTTTTTATTCAGCGCGTTAACTTTGATATGCTTGAAATATTATTGTAAATAGCCTAATAATTGTTTCTTTCTTTCTTGGTATAGTTAAAAGTAAGGTGGCTGAAAAGTTTACATACTGTATGCATTATTTTCCCCAATTAAAAAAAAATCACCTAATCACCTATCATGTCTACTGCATACATGTATCGTTTTCATATATTAATCTAACTTACACCGTCAACATTTGCGAAACAGAATAAAACTTTTGCGGTGACATTACGTGTACGTTTTAATTGCTTTTTTAAACCTTTCAAAGCGTCCATTTTATAACTTTTTTATATTCATCCTTGTATCTGTTAAGTTTATTATATTTCTTCCTCTTTGTCTTTTGCATACTGTTGCCCGAGTATGAACTTTGTTCTCGCTGCCTTGGATTGGCTGGGAGATCTCTTTATTCACCTTCACCTTTACTCACTTTTATAGAGAACTATAATTTATATTTCTTTGTATTTTTTGATGGTGGTTTCAGTATGTTAGGTTTAAACACTTTTTCTTTTAAAAACGCTTATTCCCCAGCGCCAAAACTTAAATATGATCTCAACAATGCACATGCGTGCAGCCTCTGCTATTACACCACGTAATCGTGTCGTAATTGAAAATGGTCCATCCCGCCCCTAACATTACCAGTGACTTGCAAATTATTTGTCTAAAAGGTCATTGTGATGATATTTTTGGTAATATTATAATTAGGAAGACAATTTTCGTTAAGGTTAAAACTGTTTTATTGTATTTGATATTAGTTACAAAATGTTTCCGTCGTTTTGGCACAAAAATCTTTGAACATTATAAAGTACCTAGCAAGGAGTTTTACTACTACTAACTTGTGAAAGAGTTTGTCCAGGGAAGTACTGCCACCTTACCTATTTCTGCTACCAAGCAGCAGTGTGAGCATGACTGCGTTCCGGTTTTGAAGGCACATGGGACTTGTCATACTGCAACTGTTATAGATACTTACCATCAGAATTACGCTTACCATCAGAAGCACGACTTGTTCATCCCATCACTTACTTTTTATTTTATATATTTATTTATGATCAGAATGATACCACCTTCTCTTGAATAAATCCATGCACAAAGCCAGAGTCCCTTGTGTTTCCTTAATGTGGTTTTATGGCTTCAGATATCGTTGAAGAGATGTGAGGTTTATTGTTACAAAGTATCTAGATTAATACTAGTTAGCCTATAATATATAATCCATTGTTGGAACAGGCCTCCTTTCACAATGAAGTTTTTGGGCCCGACGGGGATTAGGAACTTACACACATCGTTGATTTGCTTTGCAGATGTGTGCAGATTTCCTCACAATGTTTTCCCCAAAGCCCAAAGCCCATGGTAAATTTCAAATTAAATTTCGAAAACTCAAAGGCGCAAGCCCGGATTCAAACCCACAACCCTCTGCTTGAGAGGCGATAGGTTTAACCATTAGGTTACCATGGCCACCTACCTAGTTTAATGGGGAATTATTATTTTTCCAGGAACTTACCGCGGTGAAGGCGCTGGTGCTGGCGGCTACTCAGGCAACGCTGGGGGATACTCGGGTGGCAATGCTGGTCACTCTGGTGGTTACTCCGCCCCTGCTCCTTCCAACCAATATGGTGCTCCTTCTGGATCCTCTAGTTTCGGTGGAAGGACCTCCAACTTCGGTGGCGCCACTTCCCGCCAGTACCTGACTCCCAACTCCCGTCCATCTGGTAATGGCAATTTCAACACCCAATCAGGATACCGTTACTAGGTCTTTTTTAATGATAATGATTGAAGAATGTAGAAAATAATCTTTTTGTGAGGCTTGTACAGGTGGAACGAGTACAATGAAGTTTGGAAGTAATTCAGTTTTTTGTAAGTAAACGTTGTGCTAGTGTGACCTACTGTACTTTTTGTTCTATCAATACATTCATTCATTCATATTATTAAAAATATATTATAAAAAGACGATTGTTAGCTGTGAACTAAATGATGTGATGATAATTGTAAGAACTTGGCAGTCGCACTGCCATATCAATGTAACTGTAAATGTATACATTAACGTAAGCTAATTTTGGATTTTTATTTAGTATTACAGGTACTAAATAAAATGTCGAAGTGTTTAGTTTACTAAATTTGCCATGTTTTTCAGTTTTCTATTATTTTTTTTACTTTATATAATTACTATTTTTTTCTTATTTACTCTGTTTACTACCCTTATTTGTCAAATCGATCTCAAACTTGAATTTCAAACTATTCACACATTTGTCTATATGTATTTATTTTTCCGTATTTTTAGTACCTATATTTCACAATAAAAACGTACAGCTATGTAAAGGACAGTAAAATTTACTAGAGTTTAAGTAAAATTGTATAAAATTTACAACTTTAGCTTGTAAGTGTTGTAAATACGAACGAAACAAATATAAGATGTGTAGCATCACGAAAAATAATTTTGTGTGTTTACTGTACTTCCTAGGTACTTTTAAAATTAGTAAAAAGGCGGAAAAGTTGCTTTAGGATCCTGAAACTTTGGCAGTATATTTTAACACCAATTATGTTAATAGAGGACATCACATACCTCATTTTCCATTAGATAAGGCTATGGACAAATGTGAATTTATCTCTAATAAAAAGAAAACTATTCTTTGAAACCTCGCAACTTGGCCCTAAATTTTTTTATACTTGATTGCTCACTCCTAATAAAAAACAGTTGTAATAGTTTAGGAGCTGTAGAGTTTGTTGTGAAAGAGTTCGTCCAAGGAAGTACTGCCACCTTACCTATTTTTGCCGGCAAGCAGTAATGGGAGCATTACTGCGTTCCGGTTTTAAAGGCTAAGGGTTGTGGTGAAATTACAGGCGTCCCATGTGCCTGTCAACTTATGCTTCAGCGTGACGGGCGCAATGCCACTCAGATCTTTGAGATTTAAAGCTCTGAGTGGCACTGCAACTGCTATGGACGGGCGCGACATGTCGCTTACCACCAGGCGCACAGTTGGTGTCATAAAAAAAATAAAAAAATCTAATGATAATACAAACCACAAACCGAACCATCGCCTAATTATTTCTGGTATTACGGTTTTTTATTTAACTACCTGTGAAATAAGAGTCGATTGTAATATATGATGCAAGTTGATGGACCATAACTCCGAAAATAATTGTACGGTAATTTAGTTTGTGGTTTGAGAATATATTTTTTTTTATTGAGCATGAGCACGACAGTATAAGCATTGTTGTACTCGTCAATTTGCGAAATTTTGAAACACCTAATTTAATTTCTTGTTTTAATTAGAGTTTATCAAGTGGTAAACAATTTTGCATTCCAATCATTGATTTACATTATATGGACGTCGGGTCCGCGCTAAAAAGTGTCCGAACTTATAGGGCGCTAAAATCGTATAGGTACAGAGCGTCATTCACGCGTTAGTCTTCGTTTGTTCGACTGACAGCGAAGCAAGCAAAATTAGACAGTACTGCGATGACATTATAATTTAAATTCAACGTTTTAGCTTTTTCATATTCCTTTACATGCCACTACGTTTAAATAGGTTGACTTGGGACATTTTTTCGTGGTTTTTCTATTAGACCCGTCGTCCATTTATTTGTAAGTCAATGATTCCAATACAGTTTTTCGTCATCACTGTCCACGAACCTTTTTTTTCAGGGAATCAAACATAATTTTGCACGTTTTTCTTTTTTGCCAAGTTACTTGTTATCATAGTATGATCATCAATTGAACTAGGGCAAGCAGTCACAATTAGTGAAGTATAACGTAGGCACGGCTGCCACGCCACTGCAGCGCTATTTTTTTATAATATCCAGTGACGGGCCGAACAAGTCGTGCGCCTGATTGTAAGCTACACGCCTGTGCATAACAGTTGCAGTGCTGAGAGCTATAAATAGCAAAGATTTGAGGGGCGCCCGTCACCATGAGACATAAGTTGACAAGTCCATGTGCCTGTAATCTCACCAGCACCAGGAAATAGATACAACGATGATTTATTTCTTGTATGAATAAATATCGCTTCACAATACAACAATTACGGATTTTGAAAATGGTGGATTTTTTTTTAATTGCCTGCTAGTCTTCCTTAGACAATACAACTCGAACTGAAATGTTATAAAAGGCGTAGACGCATGCAGCTTCGATGTATTAGACATAAAATAAATAATTTCCAAATTCCAAAAATTCTGCAGAATTTTAATTCACAATAAATTTAGTAAAAAAAATGTTGTTAAATTGCAAATGTTTAGTATTTTTTTATACGAAATTTTATGCGAAATATACGTTGAGATTTTTGAGCATAAAATTTTTTTCTTAATCTTGACGTAAATAATCCATAGAGCGACACTGTAATGAAAAAGCCCGTGTGCATAATTAAGGACATTACGGTCGAATTTGCCTGCATGTCATGACACTGTTTACGAGCAAGTGTGATGAAAACACTACTTTGTACCCTGCAAGCCTTTATTTGACCTCCTTATAAGACGTCGCTCCACTTTTGTTGTGGTTTGGTAATCAATTAATCCAGACGTTCTCGTCCATACTTGTCTTCCACTTTATCGACTTTTACACTTTTCCGAGTCACTTATACCTTCGAAAATGAAAGTGCAAGGAATGGTTTCTTTCGGAACAGAAGCATCATATAACTGGTCTGTGGGATAGTAATCCGTAATCGCCTGGTGTGAGTCATTTGTACCCACTGTCGTGCTGATTTGACTTGTTTTGCCTGTTGTATTTGTACTGTATTTATGACTATATCAAAATGTATCACTTATAACTAGGAAATTAATAGTTAAATTTAGTTGTTCACAGAAAACAATAAATACAGTAAAGTCCGTAGTTTGCGTGACACGTGCGCCAAAAATACGCAAAGTTCAACATACTTAAGAGGGAGCAGAGGAAAAATTCCTAATCTTCGATTTGATTTTAGAGAGATATATCCACTTTAAACTTAAAAATAAAATATTGTATGAGTAACTACACGATATATTCAAGCATAGACATTAATCAGATACATAAAACAATAAAGTTTCCTCGATAGATAAAAATCACGAAATGACCTCTAATTTTCCCATTTTTTCGATTCATTTTCGAAATGCTACAGGTTATTAGGACAAAAATTAGATAATTAATTATATTTATGCATGATCGAGAACTGTCACTACGGATTTTTTTAAATCCCTTTAGTTTTAGAGTTGTTCCGCTAAAACGAATTTGGTACTTTTAATGCGCAAAATTCAACATCTCCTGTCGCATGTCACGCGAACTTCAGGCATATAGTTATCTCACAAATGTGGGCGGAGCCAACGTCAAAACTTTTTTGGCATGCTCCCTCTTAAGCTCAGTCCGCCATTTTCGCTTTGTACGTTATGGTTGTGTCAATTATAGTCCGCAAAACCTTGAATGTAGCCTTATTTTGCTACTTTTTAGTGCAAATATGATATTCGCATTTCGCACAACATTAACTATGGTGGTGTTTCATATACATATTATCGTTTAGTCTTATTTTAATTTATGTGTCCATGGCACTCGTGACACAGATTTTCCCTAGTGCGGGGCTATTTTGAGTGTGTCTGTGTTATTTTATTTAATTTTAATATATTTCAATTTCATAATTTTTTTGTTGCACGAAACTAAAGTAAATCTTATAACACTGCAATGTGGTTGCTTCTTTTTTGGAAAACTAAATAAACATCTCGTATTCTTCGCCATTCAGCTATTCATCGCTAGATTGAATTGATTGAAATTTCAATATAATATTAAAAACATCGTAACTTGCAATAATAGGCACTTAACTTTTAACGATATGCCAATAGGACAAAGTTTAAATTTTACATAGTTAACAGTCCAGATTTTATTATTTCTTTTTAAATTAGAAAATGCGACAAGTCATTATCAAGATTTCATAGTATTTCAAATTACGAATGTGTGAGTTTTCGACAGTGGTTCTGATAGTAATCGGGGTTTAAGGCACTACCAATGTCATCCCTATGTCGTCTTTTTTAACCGACCTGTAGTTGTAATCCGGGTGTTGGCCAGGTGACTCATAGCACAGGTATAGCAAAGTTTGGATTCCTGTCTCCCAATCGTTCACTTCTATTGTATTACCTACATCTTGTACTTGTTGGGAGACAACAATTTATTATTATTCTTTTTTTGCTTCAGTGATTTAATGAGAAAGCAAAATAAATGAATTATTAAAAGTCATGCAACAAAAGTTGTTATTTATGATGTTAATAATTTTCCAAATAACTCTGTCTGTGTTTGATTAATAAAATCCAATTTATTTATTTTATTTTATTTTTAAATATATGAAATATTTTATATTCCTTTTTATCAGACTTTTAATAAAGTCGTCATGCCGTAAAGATGGCCCATCTAAATTTATTAAATAAATCAGCTGTTCCATAATAGCCAAAATAAGAGTTGCTTGGTTTGTACATAAAACGTTAAAAAGATATCAGCTAATTAATTAAAACCTATATAAGTATCTAGAATATATCAAAAACCTTGTAAATACATTAATTACTAGAATCTACACCTAGATAAATAGACGATACGACCTTAATACAGCACATAGCAAAAAAAGCCTTTCAAGATGTACGTAGCCACTGTGCTCATCACAGCCTTATAAGGATTAAAGACCTAAAAAGGATCTGCTGTCCTGGTTTAGATAAAGTCTAACGTATTGATAGATTTTTTTTATCACTTAAAGATAATTAGTTAAGAAGGTTAGTTTGTGTACTCAATTCTCTATATTTTATTGCAAAACTATAATGTATACAATAAGAATTTAATAAGACAGAGAAGACCAATATTATGGACCCCGTCGAGCACGCAATACAAAGGAATGGAGACAGGAATAAAATAAAATAAAATAAATGTTTTTAATTTAAATTGTTTTTTCTGAGTGTTTTTTTTTTGAGTGTTCGATCTTTGTATTAATAATTATAACAAACTAGTGGAGTAATTTCACAAAAAATAATTGAATAACAATTCAATAAAAATTTAATTAATAGAGTGAATAGCGACATCTTTCGCCAGGACTGGTAGTTGTAAAGGTAGTAACTAGGTGATAAATCTGTCATAGATTTCTCATAGATGGCGCTACGATTAAAAAGTCGTTGAAAGACCAAGGACAAAGACACGACGCAAGCACATAGAAAAATTCGTGAGGTCCGTTGGTTCGTTCCGTAGCTTAGTTGGTATAGCGTCTGGCACGGTTTGCAAGAAGACGTCGGTTCGAATCTGACCGGATCGAAGGAATTTTTTCTGAGTGTTCGATCTTTGTATTAATAATTATAACAAACTATTGGAGTAATTTCACAAAAAATAATCGAATATCAATTCAATAAAAATT